CCAACTTTTTGTCTCATTGATTGTTTGTATTGTTTTCTTTGTTTCTATTTTGTTGATTTTAGCTCTTAGTTTGATTATTTCCTGCTGTCTAGTTCTCTTGCATGGGTTTGCTTCTTTTTGTTCTAAAGTTTTCAAATGTTCTGTTAATTTACTAATGTGGGATTTTCTCAGCTTCTTTATGTAGGCATTTTGTACTATGACTTTTCCTCTTAACATTGCTTTCATTGTGTCCCATAAATTTGGGTATGATGTGTGGTCATTTTCATTGAATTTTAGGAAGTCTTTAATTTCTCCCTTGACTCATTGATGATTCAGCTGAGCATTGTTTAATTTCCATGTGTTTGTGGACTTTCTAGAATTAGTATTGCTGTTGAATTCTAGTTTTATGCCTTAGTGATCTAATAAGATACATGGGGTTATTCCAATTTTTTTTTGTATTTGTTGTGGTTTGTTTTGTTACCGAGTATGTGGTCAGTTTTTGAGAAGGTTCCATGAGGTGCTGAGAAGAAGGTATATTCTTTTATGTTTGGATAGAATATTCTATAGATGTTTGTTAAGTCCATTTGAGTCATAACATCTGTTAGTCCCTTATTTCTCTGTTCACTTTTTGTCTCACTCACTTGTCCAGTGGTAAGAGTGAAGAGTTGAAGTCTCCTACTATTAGTGTGTGTGATTTAATGTATGGTTTATGCTTTAGAAGTCTTTCTTTGACATATGAAGGTGCTCTTGTAATTGGGACATAGATGTTCAGTATTAAGATTTCCTCTTGATGGATTTTTCCTGTGACTAATATGAAATTTCCTTCTTTGTCTCTTTTGATCGATTTTAGTTTGAAGTCTATTTTATTAGATATCAGGATAGTATACCAGCTTGTTTCTTAGATCCATTTGATTGGAACTTTTTTTTCCCAACCCTTTATTCTGAAGCAATATCTGTCTTTGAGGTTGAGGTGTGTTTCTTGAATGCAGGAGAAGGATGGATTCTGTTTTCATATCCAATCTGTTAGCTTGTGTCTTTTTATAGGTGAGTTGAGTTCATTTATATTAATGGTTATTAATGACCAGTGATTGCTCTCTTCTGTTAATTTAGTTTTTGTTGTTAGTGATGTTAATTTGTGTGTGTTTCCCGCTTCTTTGGGATTTGCTGCTGTGAGATCATCAATGTCTGTGTTTTTGTTGATGTAGCCAACTTCCTTGGGTTGGTGTTTTCCTTCTAGTACTTTGTGTATGGCTGGTTTTGTGGCTAGGTATTGGTTAAATCTGGTTTTGTCATGAAATATCTTGTTTTGTTCTTCTATGGTGATTGAAAGTTTTGCTGAGTATAGTAGTCTGGGCTGGCATCCATGGTCTCTTAATGTCTACATAATGCTTGACCACAACCTTCTGGCTTTCATTGACTAATGAGAAATCCAGTGTAAGCTTCTGTATCTTCATAGGCAGATCTTTCTTTAGGTTGGGAAAGTTTTCTTCTATGATTTTGTTATATATGTTTTCTGTGCTTTTGAGTTGAACTTCTTCTCCTTCTTATACTATACCTATTATTCTTAGGTTTGGTTTTTTTCATGGTGTCCCATATTTCCTGAATATTTTGTGTTAAGCTTTTGTTAGATTTAGTATTTTCTTTGACTGATGAGTTTATTTCCTCTATTGTACCTTCAGAGCTTGAGATTCTCTCTTTCATCTCTTGTATTCTGCTGTTCATGCTTGCATTTGTAGTTCTTGATCATTTTCTCATGATTTCTGTTTTTATAAATTCCCTCAGCTTATGTTTTTTTTTTATTGTATCTATTTCAGTTTTCAAATCTTGAATAGTTTCTTTCATATTTTTGATTGCTTTTCCTTGGTTTTCTTTAAGGGAGTTGCTGATGTCTTCCAATTTTTTTGTTCATCTTTTTCTCCATTTCTTTGAGGGAATTTCTCATTTCCCCTTTAAGAGTTTCAAACATTCTCTTGAAGTTATTTTTAATGTCATTTTCTTATGCTTCATCTATATTTGGTTGTTCAAGACTTGCTGTTGTAGGTTCTAGATTTTACTGGTGTCATATTGCTCTTTGTCGTGTTGCATGTGTTCTTACCTTGTCTACTCATCTTTTTCTCTAAGTGCTATGGTTGGGGCTGTCTGTGTCTCTGGTGGTTAATCTTCTAGGTGCCAGTGGGTCTAAGGCTCAGATGGTTGTTCCTCATCGTATAGTCAGTGCCAAAGTTCTAGTTTGGTCACTTCATGTTCCTGGAGGTCGCTCAGCGCTCCCAGGGTTTGCTCTGCTCCTGTGGAGGTTCCTGTCTTAGACCTGCTCTGGTCTAGGTTGCCAGCTAAGACCTGTTTCTGTAAACATCCCTGTTCTGGATCTGATCCTGCAGAGGTCCCTGGCTTGGGGTTGATCCTGCAAAGGTCTCTGGCTCTGATCTACTTCCTCAGAGTTCCTAGACTCAGGTGCACCTGGACCCGCAGAGGACATTGCTCAGGGCTACTCCTTCAGAGGTCCCAGACCGTCGATGCCTAGACCACAGAGGTCCTGGCTCCCTCCGAGGTCCCAGACTCATGCCCAGATCTGCAGAGGTCCTAGCTCAGGCTTAGTTCCTTGGAAGTCCCAGACTCACACCCAGACCCACAGGGGTCCTGGCTCAGGTTTACTCCCTTGAAGGTCCCAAATTCAAACCCAGACCTGCAGCGGTCTCTGGCTCTGGCCCACTAGTTCAGCAGTTGCTCCCCTGTACCTGCTCCTGTGGAGTTCGCTGTCTTAGTTCTTCTCCAGCCCAGGTCTCTGGCCTACTCCTGCCTCCGCAAATGTCCCTGATCTGGATCCGCTCCTGTTCCAGTGGAGTTCACCGTCCCAAGCCCTCTCTGGCCCAGGTTGCTGGTTCAATCCCTCTCTTGTGGAGTTCACTGCCTCAGGCCTGCTCTGGCCTATGTTGCTGGCTCTGGGTAACAGTCTTAATGTATCAACAGTAAACTTCATTGCTATATTTTGCATCAGTATGCAGAAAACCCCAACCTCAGTTGGAAGGTTGAAATTGCTTCTTTTGGGGGGGGGGGCAGTCTTTGCAAGAGCACAGCAAAGATCATCTTCAATAACAAGTCTACTCTATTTAAACTTGATAACCAATGTGCTGGAAAATCCTGTTTCACAAAGGTGTGTTGTTGGAAATGGAAGAAGAAGGGGCAGCACAATCTCAGACAGAAAGGATATGACTGCAAACACTGTTCCAAAGCTTTGTAATGGCGCTGTAGAGAAATCAGCTCTCATGGCATGCTGCTAATAAATCAATGAACTCCTCTTGTACTGTCTCAGGAACACCTTCTACTTCAACTGTGAATGGGCTTCTGCCAAGTGCAAATGGGGTGTCAGGTAGATTTGGAAAATCTAATGGAATTTCATCTGCAAGCATGTGCAAGCGCTCTTTTAGAGGGATGATCATCATAATCCTCTTGTCTGGGTCACTGTCCTGCTCCTCAAGGAAAGCAGAGGAGGCAGGCAACATGTGCATTTCATTTTCATCCCGTTTTTCTTTTTCTTTCTTTTCTTTCTTCTTTCTTACATAAGGAAACTGCACTCAGTTGTGTAACAAATTCCTCTCCGATCAGAACAAGCACTGTCATTAGTCGCTGGCATCGGTAGATCCTCAGCAGTGGTCTGCAGTTTCATAGCCCTGGCGATTCTCAGTGCCACCATATGTGAAGCTCCAGTGGCTGCTGTGTTTTGTTTGTAGTACTTGTCACCAGTGTGAAGTCTGGCTTCAGCTTTGCTTCTAACATAGTTGGTATCCTTGCTGGCAAAGATCAAATGCCGGCTATCAAAAGGGCGTTTAGTTTGTCCAGCTTCATCGATTCCGCTGACAGAACTTCAGACAACAAATTGCAGTTTCCCAATTCCTGCTGTAATAATTGAAGTAAAAAAATTCTTCACTACATTTATTTTCTTAACATTCTTCTCTTCATGATCCATTATCATGAGACAGTCTTCTAATGAAAATAATATATAATAATAACTTTAATAATACAAAAGATAATACATGGCATAGGTCAGTCAATACAGTTTTTTGCATACCTGTTACTATCGCAAAGAGGCAGTATTGACATCAGTCACAGCTTAATATGAAAAGACCTATAAGCATGTAGATTAAGTTCTCGTGGTACAGAGGTTTTTTTTTTTTACAGTAATTGATTTTATAGTACATGGTTTTACTTTTACCTAGTAATTATAATTCATGAAATGTCATTGTACCTCCATACTGCTGCTTTTGACACAGTAGCTCCTTTCTGCACTTGTGTGTCTGGTCTGAATAAGATATTATGGAGCCAGCCTGTCACTTACAGCCGTATTTGTTCAGGGTCTCTGTGATGGGGTTTGCATGATGGTGTCATCATGCTAGGTACTCATATCTGGGCAGGCATATCTGCATGTGGGCAGACCGTCCTGGAGATGGATAGAGGAACAGTTCTCAGTTCCTAAGACCAGAAGAAAACACATATTTCCGAGGGTCTTAGGCTGCCCCTGTGGCAGATCATTTGTCTCCCAAAGAGCTTATGACCCATAACTTGAGAATTGCTGCCATAGGTGCTTGCTGCTATTTTCAGCTTGGCGGTTCACTCTGATAGTCCACAAAACAGAAAGCGTGTTGTGGAGCCTTGGGGTGCCTTAAGGTGTGCACCTCCAGAGGTAGCCCTTCAGCCCTGGAGTCCTGGGGTGAAGGGCCAACTTTAGGGTTTGGGTGAGTATCTGATCTCTCTGGGGCCTCCAGAAAATGTTAATCCCACCAAGCAAGAATAAGACCGTTACCACACTGTTTGAACCAAATTTGAAGCAAGCTTTTTTAAATACTGGCCAGGACAATGGACACTGCCAGGCCTATACCTGGGATTCCCAGAATGTGGCACTAAATTATATTAGTCCAAGGCTTATAAAGGCAAAACTCACATGTCTGTGTATTTCATGCCTTCATCCAATCAGGGACAAGATTACATCCTGACGTACTTCTTACCTTTGTGCCTCCTGCCTGTAGGTGATCAAACACGTTTCGTGCAGCTGGGACTACCAAACTTGTTTACAGAAGTGAAGACCTGTGGCTTGTTATCTTCCGTGAACAACAGCCCCCAGAATTCCAGGAAGCTATCTGTCCTTGGGCAAGTGGGGCTTATACATTAGAGGTGTTTTTGTTTAATAGATCTCTTAAGTACAGTAATTTAAACTTAAAACATAACTTTAACCCTTACAGTGGTTGTGATCGTAGCATCCAGGAGGTGGAGGCAGGAAAATCAAAGAGTTCAAGGTCATTGTTTGCTACATAGTGAGTTTGACAACAGCACGGGGTACCTGAGACTCTGTTATAAACAAGCGAACCGATATTAGAATAACAAAACTTGTGAATATATTTAAGGAGACAGAAAAAAAGATCACTACCCCAATTTACCATTACATAATGAATATACATGTTAAATTATCACTCATTTTTATAAAAAATAAAAGTATTAAATAAGCATCACAGAATGATATGGCAAAGAGTGAGGTGGAGCTAGTACATATGAGGTCACCAGAGAAGACTTAGAAGAAATGCCTTTGTCAGAAAGTGGATCCCGATGGCCACACAAAGTTCACAGAGGATAGACTCTGAAGCACCCATGTATCTGGTGTGTGGGGGACTGGAAAGAGGGGCCATGTTTTTGAAGAATGCTGAGGGGGGAAAATGATCTACCTAGGTGTTAATGACTATATAATTCTTTATATTGGTCATATGCTTAGTGGTTTCTTTCAGCCTGAAAAGATACACACCAGTTCTGTGCTATGATTTAATGGTTTTGTTGTTTCTGTATTTTTCATTCTTTTTCAGAATCAGTCTGATTTCCAACTTTCTTCCTTCTATTTATGCACTTAGGTGATACTTCTTTCCTTTTGGGGCAGTCCTTTTTGAACAGTTATTTTTTTTAAAGTGAGATATACATATACATAAACATACATACACACATATTTACGTACAACTGAATGAGTTACTTGTACATGCTAGGCAAGAACTTGCAACTTGAACCAAATCCTCATTTATTTTCTCCTTGATGTTGCTTTTTGTTTGTTTTTTTGTCTTAGTCTCCTTAAAAAACTTAATTGACAATAGATTTTTTTCATATAATATATCCTGATTGCAGTTTCCCCTTCCTCTCTACTCCTCCCATCCCCACCTCCTTTCTGATCTGGATCCATTCACTTTCTGTCTCTCATTAAAACCCAAGCAGCTTTGTATGGAATGAGATAAAACAAAAGCACATGGAATTGGACAAAACAAGCAGGAGGAAAAGAGTCCAGTAGAAGGCACAAGAATCAGAGACCCATTCATTTGCACATTCAAGAATCCTATAAAAACACTAATCTGGAAGCCATGTACTCAGAGGACCCGTGCAGACCCATACAAACCCTGTACAAGCTGTCTCTGTGACTTCATATGATCTTTAATCATGATATTTTAGAGGGCTTTGTGCTCTTGATGTCTTCAGTGCCCTCTGGCTTTCTTTCTGACTTCTCTTCTGTAGGGTGCCCTGAGCCCTGAGGGGAGGGATTTGATGAAGACTTCCCTCAAAGGGCTGAGTGTTCCAAGATCTCTCAGTATCTGCATTATGTCTGAATGTGGTTCTCTGTATTTATTCCCATCTCTGACAGGAGGAAGTTTCTCTGATGATGACTGAGGAATGCACTGATCTAAGTATAGCAGAATGTCATTAGGAGTTATTTTATTATGACTTATTTTTTTATAACAGTAATATTTGGTTTTATCCTAGACTCCTGTGCTGTCTTGCTTGGTTATCCAAGCAGTGTCAGGAATGGGTTCCATCTCATGGCATAGGCCTGAGTTAGCAGTTGATTACTCTTACACATTTTGCGCCACCATTACACTACCATTTCTTTCAGGCAGAACACCATTGTAGATCACAGAGTTTGTTAGGTTGCTGGGTTAGTGTTTGTTTATCTTTCTCTTTTTGGTAGCCTGCAGAGTACCTTTCTGCTCAAACACTCTAGAATATAGTGGTGATGATTCTGTGTGGGTGTCAGCTAGAGTGCTCCATGTTCAGTGAGTCGTGTGGGTGTTGTCCTCAGGAGCGGGGCTTGCTGGCAGTCTGTGGAGCACAACATATAATCTTGGCAACAGCCTGGGTTGTTTGGGATTCTCATGATACCCCTTTGACCAACAATTCAATTAGATGTAACACATTCCCAGGATTAGAAGCTTCATTTGGTGACAAGGATAGCCTATTGGGACTCAGCCTTGCCCATTATTTGGCAATTTTATTTAGATTGTCTTAATATATTTATATATTTTAGGAAGCTTATATTGTATTAGATTTTCATACTGCCCATCAAGTGTCCCTTAATTTTTATCTATGTCTCTTTGTATTTCCTTCCTCTGTCCCCCAGCTGGACGCCCCCCCCCAACTGGACCCCTCCCAGGGTGCCCACCCACACCTCCTTTGTAACTGTTTTATTGCCCTTTCCTAATGAAATTTCTGTCAGTTTGGGTTTTCTTTATTCTATTTTCACATTGGGTTCTTGAACTGTTTTATTCATTCCTTCTACTGTGTTTTCATGGGTTTCTTTAAGGGATTCATTTATTTTCTCTTTGAGAGCATCTGTCATTTTCATAAAGGCTATTTTAGGTCTTTTTCTTGTGCTTTAGCTATGTTACAATATTCAGGACCTGCTATTGTACTAATTGTGTTTCATGCTGGCTTCCAGACATCTGGATTTGGGAAGATTGTAATTGTAGGTGCTGATATATGCTTTTATCTTTGTTGGGTGGGTGTTTTGCTCCCAGATTTCTGTTGCCCTGTCTGGTTCTTAGGAGAGTGTGGTGGCTGTGTATTACCTGGTAGGATATTCTTCTGGGATTGTTAGATATGGCCACTGGGGGTTCCAGGAAAAACTTGTTTCTAGGTATTGAATCCTGATACTTAGGAATGGGGATAGGTTAAGATCAGGGTGCTGAAGGGGTCCACAGGAAGGTGGCAAATAGGGTGTTCCTCCAAGATCACTTAGTCCTTTGGGAATGAGGGTATAGAGTGAGAAGAGGTCACAGAAGTAGGTCTGCTGCAGAGTTGGAGATGAGGCTGGGGGATTGGGCTTCGGGGAATGGAGAGAGAGGTGAAGATCTGCAGTCAGCATCTCCGCTTTTCTGGCTGGAGTGGCCTGCAGGTTCCCAGGAAATGCCTAATGAAGTTGGGGATAAACCAATTAGTTGAGGGGAAGGAAGCTAGAAATGAAAAATCTGTGTACACACACATGTCTGCATGGGGAAGAAGAGAGGTTGCTCTGATATAACCTATCAAAAAGTTCCATTTCCAGTTTTCATGTGGATTGGGTGAGATCATTGCTCGACAGTGGTAAGGAGAGAACCCCAAAGCCTGACTTAGACAGCTCTCTAGCTCTCAGCTCCTGTGTAGTCAGTCATCCCGTCAGAAGTCCTTTGTGCTTCCCGGGTTCCAGGGCACCTACTCTGAGCTCTCGCTCCTCCATAGGTATTTGGTTTCTGGTTTTTCAAATCTGCTGTCAGTTATCTCTTGCCATCTACTATTTATCCTCTAAAATTTTATGGAATTTATTGTGTTCTTATTTTGCCTTAATATCTTTGTCCCATGAAGCCTTCACCCTTGCCATTTTCACATGAATTGGAAGGGTATCAGAGTATCTAGATGTCCGTGGCCTCTCCCCATCTTTATCAGGATACGGTGCCAAGTCACTTGTAGCTAGTTTTCCTACCAAAGGGAATCAAACATCGACATATGACATTTCCTTAATTTTGATTTACCATCGGCAGTATGGTACTGTTGTTAATACATTCTGATGGAAATCTACACTATAATAAAGATACACATTACTGTAAGATATGTACATTTTTTGAAAACTGTCAAATGGAAACAGTAGTCATAAGAACTTAGGAAATATAATGGATCTATATACATTGTGTAGTTTATTTTCTTTGAAGAAATAGGTTCTGAAAATGGGCATATGATTTCTGTTTTGATCGTGACTGAGATCCTGTTAAAGTCGGGGAGTGACTTTCTTCCTCTCTCCCTCTTGGGCATGACTGTGCTCTGCTGGCTACACAGTGATGGAGCTGCACGTTGTTCTAAGTTATGTCTTCTCTAGGGACAAGCTGTTGAGGTTTTTCCTCAAATCCCGAGTGCCTACCAATGGGCCTTGCTTAGTTGTTGGCATGTAGTAGATTTTGCAACTATATTTTGAACCAAACAAAAATAACTAAAAGTTGAAATTATATCCATGGAACTGATAATTAGCTAAGTTTTGTTACTTCCTACTGAAATGAGACTCATAATTTTATACCTGTTGAGTACTCACAGAGGGAAACTGACATGTATTGAGTGGTTTTCATTTGCCACAGACTTCAAAAGATGTTTTGCCATTTACTCCTTGGTAATGGTGTAGACTATAGGTTTTAAAGCATAGGATGCATTTTTTATTGATCATTGTTGGGGCTTTAGGCCAAAACATGATCATAATAATTTCCTACTTCATTAGGAAATTCTTAGCATTTGTAAGCCCTGATGATGTATGCCTGTGTTAAATCTGTTAAGGTGAAATTGATCTCTTCTTAGGGAACATTGTGGTTATTCATAGGCATTCATTTCAGTAAGAAAAGACTGTTCTTTTCTAAGTTATCTAATTTGGTCCCCTATTCAACTCATGAAACAAAATACTAAAAGTTTTATTTAAGAAAGAGTCCTGTGACAAACCATTAGTAAAAACAAAAAACAGCCAATCAGAGAAGAAACAAAAGAAAGATCCAATCATAGTATTGAAAGATTCATTGTGAATTCTTAAAAGAATTTAGGGTTTGTTTGCATTTATTAAAAATTTGTCATAGAGACTGATGAGCCAGCAGCTTAGTGAGGGCTGCTACCAAATAAGGGTAGTTAGGGTAGAAAAGCATCTTTGATTTAATAACTCAATTTACCATAGCTACAGAATAATAATCATTCACATTGGAGCTTTTTATAAATATTTTATTAGTTCTTTGAGAAATTTGAACCGTATATTTTGGTCATCTTCACCTCCCCTCAACTTCTCCCAGTTTCATCCCCACCCTCTCTCTCAGCTCACCAAGTACAGCTTGTGCTGTGCAAATATTCTCAAGTACGGGGCTCGCCCT